AGTGAGTCCACTGAGGTGATTAGCAGCGTCCTTGGGTCTGGAGGTGTTGGCAGGAATGTTTATCTGAGTGAACTGGCTTTTGGGCAAACAGGACTATGGACATTCCTGCATCTCGATTTCTCAGACTCATGAGCTGGCTTGTCATGCAACCTCAGCTCTCGTGAGGAAACCTGTGGCCACAAAGTTGGTATTTGGGGTGGCAAAAAGTAGCAGTGAAGAGGGACTTTGTTGCCATGGTAACGTGTCTGTATAGTGGACGTGTTTTTTAAAGTCGAGAAATAGAAGGGCACAAACTTCATAAAAAAGGAGATAATCTTAGGAAAGATAGAGGAGAAACAGGTACTGAGGTGTCACTGGCAGGTGTATGTCCAGAGTATGCGGCTCTATTGTCTTTGCCCTTTTCCACATCTGAACACACTTCAGTCACAAGGGAATCTACCGACCCTGCCCCTTCCGAATGCCAGGTTGCTCTGGGCACCACGCTCAGAATGCAAAGGCCACCTAGCTGATATCCAGCAAGGTTCCAGGTTGTATACAACCATGTCGTGTGGACTCTGGGTTCTAGTTCCATCCTCTGTGAACATTCCTGGTGTTCTCACCGAGGTCAGCATTCACAGGGAGGTAGAAAACTAAGGCTCCAACCCTGGTTCTGCCACTTGATCACTTAGGTGACCCTGGACTAGTGACTTAACCTTTTCTGTGCCTTGTTTGGTTCAACTTAATAGGAGTCATAAAAACTAGCCTACCTGTTTTCAGAGGCAGGCAAATTTGCAAGGACAAAATGAGATCATGGCTGTAAAGATGTGTTGGCAAGCTGTAAACTTCAACCATTCAGAAGTATTGTGCTTGCTGGTGGTATTAATTAAGGGGTAGTTTCTCAACCTTCAGTGCATTTTAAAATCATCGAGGAGGCTACAAAAATACCAGTCGCCAAGGCCAGTTAAATCAATATCATGGGATAATAGAGTTGTGGCACTGGTCTTTAAAAAACACAACTTTTTAAATTTATGGGTATGGTTAAACATATACTGAAGTAGAGAGAATCATATGATAAACCTAATAATTATCAATTCCTGGAAAATTATATTTCATCTTTTCTCTCACCCACTTTTCCACACTGTCAACCCTGGATTATTTTTGAAGTAACTCACAATGGAATTTCTTACTTGTGTTTTGGAAGGGGAGAGTTATTATCTATTTGCTTATTTTGTTTTGTTTTCAAAGTTCTCTGGTGATTATAACGTGCACCTAAGTTTAAGTACCACAATCAAGGTCATGGGCAAATGTTGTGACTCTTTCTTTCTTCCCTCTCCTCCCTTCCCCTCCCTTCCCCTCCCCTCCCCTCCCCTCCCCTCCCCTCTTCTCTTCTCTTCTCTTCTCTTCTCTTCTCTTCTCTTCTCTTCTCTTCTCTTCTCT